ATACATTATATATATATTAGGGCCGGGACTCGATTAAAAAAATTAATCTAATTAATTAGAGGCTTTGTAATTAATTAATCGAAATTAATCGCATTTTTAATCACATATAAATATTTGACCTGAGAACAGTGAGAAGCAATTTTTTTTCACATGGATTGTAGTATACCATTAGGCGCATTCCCACCGCAGTACTTTTCCCACAAAGGTTCATGAGAACTTAGTTCATGAGAACTCTTTGAACCTGGGGGTGGATTAGGCAAATGAAGCCGCTGACGTCACTTATTCTTCTTCTGCTTTGGGTTTACTGGTAGGCCGCAAACCACTTCACGGCGTATACTGCCGCCCAAAGTCCCCGGCCGGAAGTCCCCGGAGTTGGGGACTGGCTTCAGTAGAAGCTGCTGGGAGTCCCAGCAGCCTTCCGAGTAAATCGCCAGAACGCCGACACCTCCTCATCTCCACCGCTCCCATGTTTTATTTTGTGTTGCCATAAATTAGTCTCTCTGCGTTTCTGCGCTGGGCTAATGCTAATAATGCTAATGCGAGGATAATAAAATTCACAAAACTTTTTGGGAGTTTTACGGGGCGTGGTTTGCAATCCGCCCAGCCAATCAGAAATATAGCTCTTTTCTCACAAGAGAGCCGTACGAAAGTCCCTGCTCTCTAGTAGCTCTCTGCTCTCTAGCAGGGACTTTCGTGGGGGTAAAAAGGTTCTCATGAACTAATTTTAGTACCGGCTCTTTTTGGTGTGAACGCGATAAAAGAGGCTAACGTCCACGCTAGCTTCCACGCTAGCTGCTATATATTTTGCATTGAGGTGATACTTGAGGCTTGATGTGCTGCGGTGATATGCGAATTCCTTTTTGGAATCCTTTTGCATAATTTGCACACAACCGTGCTCTTATCGACGCTTCCATCCGTCCGTTTTTTAAAACAACATATCCCACTGTTGTTCACTGTGGTTTGTTGTTGTCTGAAGTCATGAACGTTAGTTGGTGCTCCAGTATAATCGGTACGCCTGAAACTCATCCAGTGAGAAACGTTCCGCGGTGCAAAAATAAGTGCGATTAAAATGCGTTAATTTTTTTAACGCGTTAATTTTTGTGTAATTAATTAATCTTAATTAACACGTTAAAGTCCCGGCCCTAATATATATATATTTCTATTAATCATTTTCGGCCTTTCGGCATTCGGCCAACTGTTTCCTATTTTCGGTATCGGTTTCGGCCAAGAATTTCCCATTCGGTGCACCCCTAGTGTTAGGTCTAACTCTTACGGTACGTCCACACAGCAGCTTTTCAAAAATCTTGAAAATCTTGGAGCTTGGCGTGTCTGAAAGCTTGGGGATTTTTTGCAACCAACAACCAATCACATGAATCTCCCGCCCCCGACATACAAAGCAAAAAACCCCGGGGATTTTATGCGAGCAATATATATATATATAAACTCCCCAAACAGGCGAAAACCTACCAGTTTCACCCACTGTCTCTGCCACCTCCCTCCATGCCTGGTTCCTCCGGTTTGTATCCCGTTAATAGTTCTGGTCGTAAAGAACCGGGTGATTTGCTACCGTAATTTCTCGTTTGGAATATGAGGAAATGAACTGCGGTCTGGTTCTCCCTGTGTGTGTGTTTCGCTGCGCTTACCGGTCCGGCGGGCGGAGCTGCAGGATTTCTGCTTCACACACGTTGCATACCGCTATTTTACTGTCTTTTTCGGACACCTTAAAATAATGCCAGACCGGTGAAGCCATTTTGGCGAGCTTGTTTTGCCGCACACAGAGAAAAGTGTCATGTATTTTACGTCATGCGATCGGCTCTCACGATCGGCATGTTTAGAGAGCACCGATCGATCGGTAGAGAGTGAGTATCGGCCGATCTCGATCGGTGCATCCCTATCAAAAAGTCCAAAAGGCGTTATCACTGCTGTCTTGGGAATGTCCAGGGGGTGCATGGGCACCTAGTGGTATCCACGCACCAGGTCCACCTTGGAAAACATCCCCGTACCGGCCAGATGCGCCGAAAAGTCCTGAATGTGCGGCACCGGATGGCGGTCAGGCGTAGTGGCGTCGTTGAGTCGGCGGTAATCCCCGCACGGGCGGAACCCGCCATTCGGTTTGGGGACGACGTGCAGGGGGGAAGCCCAAGGACTGTCGGAGCGGCGGACAATGCCCAGGCTCTCCATGGTTGAGAACTCCGCCCTCGCTACAGCCAGCTTAGAAGGGTTCAACCGCCGGGCCCTGGCGTAGACAGGAGGCCCCTCGGTAGTGACGTGGTGCTCCACGCCATGCTTAGTGGTAAGCGCAGAGAAGGTGGGCAGCGCAGGTCTGGAAACTCGGCCAACAGTCTGAGAAACGTGTCTGCAGCCCGACAGCCGCAGCATATGACGATATGCTGCGCTGCCAAGTGTGCACACGAGGGAGTCCACTAAGAGTCCATGAGCACACAAAAAATCCGCTCCGAGGAGGGGAAAAGAAATGTCCGCTGTCACGAAATCCCAGCTGAAACGCTGTCCTCCGATGCACAATCACATAGGCCTCACGCCGTACGTGCGAATGGGACCGCCGTTAGCCGTCGTCAATCGCGGTCCGTGCCCATCCCGGGTGACGTCTTCACTCGACGCTGGAACTACGCTCCGTTGAGCGCCCGTGTCACACAGAAACAGGCTTCCCGAAACGCTGTCGCTGACGAAGAGGAGCCCGCACGTGACGCCGACGCTCAGGGCCACTACTGAGCGCCGGCCCCTCCGTTTCCCGGGGGTTTGTAGCTGCACGGGGCGATGCATTTCTTCGCCATTGTCCCGAAACGTGCGTGGTAAAAGCACTCTCCGGTGTCTCCACGCCGGCTCGATACAGCCGTGTCCTGCCTCCGCCACGCTTTCTTGACTGCAGATGGGCCGCTGAGCGTTGTGGCTAACGTCTCTGCACCGGGCTTTTGTGTAACCAGGAAAAAACGATCCGCTTCCTCAGCCAAGGAACGGGGCTCCGTGACAGGCGTGTTGGCCAGCGCCGTCTGGACCCGGGGAGGCAAGTGACGCAGGAAAATCTCCGTGAATAAAATCCGGGGATCTCCCCCCCCTAGCAGATTTAGCATTTTCTCCATTAGCTGGGATGGCTTGCTGTCTCCTAGGCCTTGAATGTCAAGTATTTGGCGGGCCCTCTCCTTAGCAGATAAGCTAAATGTCTTAAGGAGAAGGGCCTTAATCGCCTCATATTTGCCATGGTGTGGGGGGGCTGCGATAAATCCCACCAACCTGGACGACGTGGAGCTCCCCAACGCTGCTACCACATGGTAGTATTTCAGGTCCCCGTCACGGACCTGTCGGCAGGCGAAATGTGCCTCCACGTGTGCGAACCATGCCTCGCGGCGTGCTCCCAGAATTCCGGCAGCTTTATGAAAACATCGCGCTCAGCCATGTTAGTTCATTTTCCGGAAACTTTCTCGGAAAAGTCAGGGTCACCAGTGTCGTGCCGTGAAAAGAGAGTCGGAGGCGGTGTATTAAGAATGGAGTTCCAATCTTTATTATCCATTAATATCAGAGAGGTTAACACATGCACTGCTCTGCCTGATGAGCTAGCAGGAATGGCAGCTAAAGCTACAGGTGTTCCCCACTAAAGGGTCCGTGTGGCAACACAATAAGCAAGGTGAATTATGGTCCCACATGGTGTCACCACAATATTACACGTATGTATATATATTACAACGATCATGTGAACAAATATATATATTGAAAAAAATGATAACAAAAAAATCAAAATATATATATATTTAATATAAATATATAGGCCTCCTATCTGCGCCCCTGCTGTTAGCTAATATGATAGAGATGCGCACCAGCATGTTACTCCTGTGGAATATGACGTAATTCTCACATGTCACAATCACGTGACCGGAGGGTAATCAGTAGGGATGCTCCGATCGCCAATTGGGCCGATTGCCGACCCCGCCGGAATCAGTATCGGCCGATAGCGATCGCCGATCCGATCGAGTGGGAGGGGCCTATGGGGATCTTCCATTTAAAGTGATGTTTAAAACTCAGTTAATGGGGCTCATTCACATGGCGCTTCCACAAACAACAACTAACATAATTATTACATTCAAATGAAGTACATTATTCAAGTTTACATTAACTTTGGATAATAACACGGGAGAAATGAGCGGATGCTCTCTCTTTTCCTCTTTCCCCCTCTCTCTCTCCTGACAGCCTGTCAGTATCGTCTCATGCAGCTCACTGATCCAGTAAAGTAATGCGTGTCGTGACCCAACAGTGAAGAATACATATATTATTTATAACTAGTTTAGCTTGTTCCAGAGGTAGATAAAATAGCTAAGTGTGTTTGGTCTAACTCTGTGTGTTTTGCTCCGCTCACCGGTTCGTCACAGCGGGTGGAGCTGCAGGATTTCTGCTTCACACACGTTGCATACCACTATTTTATTGTCATTTTCGGACACTTTAAAATACTGCCAGACCGGTGAAGCCATTTTTGCGAGCTTGGTTTGCCGCACACAGAGAAAAGTGTCATGTATTTTACGTCATGCGATCGCCTCTCGCATTTTTTTTTTTAGAGAGCACCGATCGGCAGAGAGTGAGTATCGGCCGATATCGATCGGCGGCCGATATCGATCGGCGGCCGATCGATCGGAGCATCCCTAGTAATCAGAAAGTGATAAGAGCTTTTATCACACCCTAAGCATGTTAGCATACTGACATTAGCATTTAGCTCAACGCCAAACAAAGCTTCACCGAGATACTAGTGTTGGAGTAGAGTTTTAGCCTCGTTTAATTTGATCAAGTCACCAAATGTGTTCCTGCAAAAAGTCTCATGTTCCAATCGGCCCTGCGCATTCCAGATCAATGACTAATAACCAAGCCCATCATCTTAACCAATGCTATTATTTACCCCCATTTGGAGTACTTTTGATCTTAATTTGTTTCTGTTATATTTATATTTGTAAACATTTATTCACCAAGATGTGCTCTGGGTCTTTTCTTTCCTTTTTCAGTTCCGCAGCCCACCTCCTTCCAAACTCCTCATGGATGGGATAAAAAACAATCTAAGTGGCCTGTTTAAACCCAAGTGGGAGGTAGGTTAAACATTGAATTCAATCAAAGCACAACAATTACACTCACAACAATGATAGATGGAGTACAAGCGGTTATGTTTGACTGTTGGCTCACATTGTATAAAAATAACAATATATTTTCTCAGTTTTTTGTTAAAATACATGAAAAAGCTTGTTGAAGGCACTTCCCTTCCTCACCCTCCATCTTTGCTGCCTTCAACTTGCTGTCTCTGTTTGTATACGCTCAACTACACAACAATTCATCATGTTTTGGAGAAAGTGTATCCGCTGCACTGCTGAGCTCTCTGAGGCACATGTTATTTCTTAGAGTCGTTGTCTTCCTGAAAGCCTTATTGGACTTATTGAGGTCAGCTTTGTCGGTCATAGTCACTTCCGATATTCTTCATGACCTAAAACTGAGTTTACTTCTCAGGCAGCAAGTGTATATCGTTTCTCTTCGCTGACAGTTAGAGCTATGAGCCAGCTGCACACAAACTCTCAACAGGAAAAGGCCTTGTACAGTCAGTCATTCGGTTCTTAATCTGTCAGAAAGATACAAATCACTGTGTGCATAATGCATGCTGTAAAAGATCATCTTGAGCAAATCTGTGTGTCTATAATCAGAGGACTTCCAGCCTAAATTATTGGCTGTTTAAGTTTGAACTACTTTTTCAACTCCTAACTCTACGGTTCCCTGGAGGTATGAAGGTGGTGGCGTTAAACTTTAAAGTATTACAGACTCTTTGAAGTATATCCATATATTCTATGCAGAATCTCCCTTAAATCCACCTTCAATCACTTCATATTGTTTTATTATTCATGTCAGCATTAAAGATTCTTCTTGTCTGTCTTCCTGCCCCCAGGTGCCTCCAGCCGACCCCCCGCTGCAGGAGGTGGATCGCCCTCTGGAGCAGCAGGACTGGTACCATGGAGCGATCCCCCGACTCGAGGTCCAGCAGCTGCTGAAGAGTGACGGAGACTTCCTGGTGAGGAAGAGTCAAGAGAAACAGGGAAATGTGCTCTCTGTGCAATGGGAAGGGTCCTGCAAGCATTTCCTCATCCAGAGCGCGGATGTAAGTGAAGAGTTCTACAAAGACACTTTACAATAAATGTGTGACTACATCATATTTTCTCAAATATTTCTGTTGCAGTAAGAGTATGTTCTAAGAGAAGTTCATGAAAGGTCACTGTTGTTTTTTATGCAAATTAAACAGAAGTCTGGATGCTAAGAATGAAAAAATGTATACAAGTTATTTAAATGATCTAAACCAAGGGTGTCAAACTCGCGGCCCACGGGCCAAATCCGGCCTGCGACCTTATTTTATTTGGCCCGCAAGAACTTGCAAAAGAATATAATATACACTACAATTGGCGTAGTTGTTGAATATTTGCTTTCAATTATGTGCCCTAGACTTCTACTTTCAGACGTAGTTATTTATGGGTTATTACCAGAACTGATAATAATCCAACGCAGAGCCAATAATGTTAATATAATACATTATTTTATATTTATTATATATTTATATATGTATAGTTATATAGTCTTGAAGTTACAACCGACCCTTTGAGTGCAACCATTGTGCTAATGTGGCCCGCCATGAAATTGAGTATGACACCCCTGATCTAAACAATTGAAAAGCCTATTTTTGTAAAGTTATTCCTTCTTCCTGTGTGTTTGCACATCGGTTGACTGGAAATGCTTCTCTATCTGTGTCAGTAGAATATGTACCGTCTGGATGGAGAGAGCTTCCCCAGCGTCCCACTGCTGATCCATCATCTGCTCTCCTCACGACAACAAGTCACCAAGAGGTCTGATACTGTGCTGAAGAAACCTGTGCTCAAGGTACACACACACGCACACACATTTAACATACTGACTGCTTCAATGGTCATCACAGATGAGCACACTTTCAAACCTAATCTCTAATAATGTTTCCTTCAAATTGTCTTCCATGTTCGGTCTTGCTGGTGCCATAGCTCTATGATGCATCTTTTATTGTTCATTTTAAACCCTTTAGGACAAGTGGGTCCTGGAACATGATGATATTATCTTGGGTCCCCTCATCGGACGGGTAGGTAAACCTAAATCTATTGACAGAAAATGTAGAAATGAGAAAAAGCAAAGGCTATTCTTCCTTGATGGGTTTTTTTTAATGCACATTCTGTACATTGATGCTCTTATGGACTTTGAAATAGTAACTTGTGGTTGTGGTTTCTCCTATGAAGATGTCTTTGTGAAAGTAAAGCTACAATAATATCAGTGTGAATTTGTCAATTAAAGTTTGTATTTTTTTAACTCCACTGTCTTTTTAGTACAAACAGCACATTTTTTGTAACATTACTCTGTTGATGTTAAGCAAGAAACACTGTCTTCGCCAATACAAAAGAGGGATTTTTGTAACTATGGAAGATATCCACTTGCTCGATGTAAATCAGACTGCTGTGTATGATTTCATATAAGCTGCTGCTGAACTTTGGCAGTCATTTTTTCATAGAAATAGGACTTTAATTTTAGTACCTCATCACTCACATTGAAATAGCGTTAAGAGCTCTCTTCACAGCCAGCATGGGCAGGAGGAACAGTTACAACACCCAATAACCATTTATTTTAACCAATCATTCAAATGAACCTACCAATTGTACATAGTTTCCATAGATTGAACACTTAAAAGTAGTTAAAGTAGAAGAATTGAATTGTACATTCGTCTCTCATTTCCTCTCAAATTGTCTACATATGGTAACAGTTCATCAAGGAGAATTGATCAGATGGAAAAGAGAATTATAAAAGCGGTAACAAATCATGCTGATGTTCGTGCCACACAGGGTAACTTTGGAGAAGTGTACAGTGGCCGTTTACGCTCCAATAATACTCCTGTAGCCGTGAAATCATGCAAAGAGAACCTGGCCCCGGAGCACAAGAGTAAGTTCCTGATGGAAGCCAGGTCAGTACACACACACACACACACACACACACACACACACACACACACACACACACACACACACACACACACACACACACACACACACACACACACACACACACACACACACACACACACACACACACACACACACACACACACACAAACAACCTCTCCTGTGCTCTCTAGGATCCTGAAGCAGTATGACCATCCTAACATTGTGAAGCTGATAGGAGTTTGCACTCAGCAGCAGCCCATCTACATCATCATGGAGCTCATTCAAGGTAAATATAATCGTGTATCTCAGTGTATATAACCAACAATTTAAAGCTGTGCCCCTCCATCATGACGTGTGTGTGTGTGTGTGTGTGTGTGTGTGTGTGTGTACACACATTTCATTAGGTGGTGACTTTCTTTCCTTATTACGGCATGGGAGTCACGGTCTGAAGCCGAAGATTTTGGTCAAAATGACAGAAAATGTTGCATCTGGTATGGAGTTCCTGGAGAGCAAGAAGTGTATTCACAGGTTGGTTACAAACACGTTTTTTATAAGGATCTATTCACTTAATCCCAAACAGGATTTTGAGATAAAAATGGTGCACATTTTGACTGCGCTAGGAATACTTGTAACTTGTGTGAAATGACTTGGTCCCATGTCTGCCCATAAGCAACCAAGCTAAGAAAACGAATTTGCTTGCTGACTTTTAGAAAGCTTGTTAGTCTAGTAATCTTTATCATTCCCAACTAAAGTCAGCCTTTAGCTTAGTGTCCGTTACTTCATGATACCATACTATAGTGAATGTATAGTCTAACACTTTACTGCTGGCAATTGCACTTAAAAAATAAATAAATGTTCTGTTCATTTGTAAAGACTATTTGCTGAATGAAACCTGTGAATAACTACATGTGTGTTTGCCCAACAGCCTATTTTCTGCAATAATCAAAAATCCAATTTAAAAATCCCTTTGGTTTTGTGTCAAGGGAACCAGGCCAATGCTTACCTTTCTTACAAAAATAAATCATCCCTACACCACTATATTTACATATTTACAAAATGTAATAAACAAGGATATACATAACTAAATAAATAAACAAACTTATACCAATAATTATGCTTTTATCGGACAGGACAGTGAACTTCATCTCTTAGTTGTACAGTATGGTGGATCTAAGGACACCACACACAAGCACCACAGAGCAGTGACAAGTAATGGTTCCAATGAAAATATATTACATATTGAAACATGTTCATTTTACACAGGAACAAGTGTGGAACAAGCTGCAGGTAGATGGATCTGAAAGCCTTCACAGTGCATAATACAGAACATAAGTCACTTCCCTCACATTAACATAATCCAACTGTTAACCAAACTGCACTTTCCCCGCAGCACTTCCACATATGTTGATGTAGCCGTCAAACTGTTATTGAAACTTAGAGACAAAAAGTATTTTTAAATAACTAAAAGCTGTTTTGTCTTCGAAGAAGCTGGAACCACGCTCTGCTGGCTGACCTACAATGTTTTTTCGTTTATATTAAAATATATAGCACTGCCATTTATTCAGCAGCCCATTACGTTCATTTGGCAACCTACAATAAGTGCATTGAAACCAAACTCAAAAGAAAAAGAGATAAGTGTCCTCAAGAACTGGAACTGTCCCAAAAAAACATTTAAAAGCTTGTTCAGAAAACTACAGTTCTGTATTTTTCATGGGTTTTGAAAATAATAATAAAACAGATACAAATAAGCACCAAAGTATAATATAAAATCCACAGTAAAGAGCCTTGACTATATTTTCATAAAGTTGACATTGAAGAGATTTTACGAAAAATAATTAAAAACACTTTTGAGCAAATGAAATGTGCCAAAAAAAACGAAGCACTTTAAAATACAATAAAACATGGTCAAACGCAAACATAATGAAATAGGCAAAATCTTTTTAATTATTAAAGATAAATATTTCACAGGTCCATAACAAAAGCTGTCTGTCTTAAACTCTATACTGTTGGTAGTTTAAAAGGAGAGACAGTGAACTTATCAAACCGTTCAGAGTCTCTTATCTATTAACGTACACTAATGCGATGTTATACCAGCTGTAAAAGAGACAGGGAGGAAGCGCATTCTGTGATTGGTTCTGTTTGAACATTTTATACAGGCTAAGAGGAAAATCAGGCTCACACAACCGCTGAAGACTATATATCTCACTAGGGATGCTCCGATCGATCGGTCACCGATCGAGATCGGCCGATACTCACTCTCTACCGATCGATCGGTGCTCTCTAAACATGCCGATCGCGAGAGCCGATCGCATGACGTAAAATACATGACACTTTTCTCTGTGTGCGGCAAAACAAGCTCGCCAAAATGGCTTCACTGGTCTGGCATTATTTTAAGGTGTCCGAAAAAGACAGTAAAATAGCGGTATGCAACGTGTGTGAAGCAGAAATCCTGCAACTCCGCCCGCCGGTAAGCGGTAAGCGCAGCGAAACACACACACAGGGAGAACCAGACCGCAGTTCATTTCCTCATATTCCAAACGAGAAATTACGGTAGCAAATCACCCGGTTCTTTACGACCAGAACTATTAACGGGATACAAACCGGAGGAACCAGGCATGGTGGCAGAGACAGTGGGTGAAACTGGTAGGTTTTCGCCTGTTTGGGGAGTTTATGGCTAGGCTATATATTGCTCGCATAAAATCCCCGGGGTTTTTTGCTTTGTACGTCGGGGGCGGGAGATTCATGTGATTGGTTGTTGGTCGCGTTGCTCGCAAAAAATCCCCAAGCTTTCAGACACGCCCAGCTCCAAGATTTTCAAGATTTTTGAAAAGCTGCTGTGTGGACGTACCGTATATACCTAACACACTTAGCTATTTTATCTACCTCTGGAACAAGCTAAACTAGTTATTATAAATATATGTATTCTTCATTGTCGGGTCACTCATTACTGGATCAGTGAGCTGCATGAGATACTGACAGGCTGTCAGGAGGGGGGGAGAGGGAGAGGAAAAGAGAGCGCTTCCGCTAATTTCTCCCGTGTTATTATCCAAAGTGAATGTAAACTTGAATAATGTACATCATTTGAATGTAATAATTAAGTTGATTGTTGTTTGTGGAAGCTCCAGTGAATTAGCCCCATTAACTGAGTTTTAAACATCACTTTAAATGGAAGATTTAAAGTGATGTTTAAATCATCCATTTAGGCCCCGCCCACTCGATCGGATCGGCCGATACTGATTCCGGCGATCGGCCCCGAAATTGGCGATCGGAGCATCCCTATATCTCACAATGAGGCTGAAACTCATTTAAGGATCATACATTAAACATAACCTTTAACATAAAAAACACATTCTAATCAAAAGAGAAATACGTGAAATGTTGCAACCAGGGTGTTTTAGTGGATCAGTTGTGTATGAGTTATTTATTTTGGTGAGTTATACATCCAGGCTGTCAGTGCTCTGCAGAAAACACGAGGTTGTGACACCAGGCTCATTACAGGAGCACTGTGAGATTTGCCCGGCAGGGACAGATCAGAGCTGCTGCTGCTCAGCCTGTAACGCTGCATGTCAATCTGCCTCACATGCTACACTGGAGACATGTTCTCTCATTTCTTATAGTCCCTCAGTTCTCTCGCCATGTCTTTTTTCATACAGGGCATGATGCTTTTGTGTCTCTTTTTATTCAATGTTTTATCAGCCCATATATTCATCACTGATATACTTTTCCCACTGTCTTCTTTTAAGGGACCTGGCTGCAAGAAACTGTCTGGTTGCAGAGCACAACGTGGTGAAGATCAGCGACTTTGGGATGTCCCGTCAGCAAGACGACGGTGTCTATTCTGCAGAGGGCGGCCTCAGACAGATCCCTGTCAAATGGACGGCTCCTGAGGCACTGAACTACGGTACAACACAACTGTTTCTGCCCTGCAATCACAACCAGCACACTACTCCTGGTTCTGTCTGCCAGCAGTCAATTGAAAACTAACAGATATATGCCTGAGCCTTTGCTGATGCTGCCCCCTGCTGGTGTGTTCAGGTCGTTATACCACAGAGAGTGATGTGTGGAGCTTTGGGGTCTTACTGTGGGAGGTCTTCTCCCTGGGAATGACGCCCTACACGAGCATGAGCAACCAACAAACACGAGACGAGGTGGAGAAAGGTGAAGACTCGCCATGCAAAAAATCCACTGTAAAAGTGTTTGTTTTCAGATTCCTGCTTTTTGTGATGCATTTTCTCAATTCCACATGTTTTGACCATCAGGATGTGTTTCAGGATACCGGATGCCTGCTCCACACAACTGCCCCGTGGAAATCTCAAGGATTATGACCAGCTGCTGGCAGTACGATCCCGGAAATAGATCTTCTTTCAAGAAACTTCGGGCTGAGCTCGGTGCCATATATAACAAAATTATGTAATACAAGCCTGTTAATAGAACATATTCTGTACTTTATTATTCTTTTGTCTGTTTGATTTGTTCTGTTATTGTGCATCTTATTTTCCTACCCACATCTTTTTTTTCCAGTCTCAATTTCATAGATAATGCAAGGTAACAAAATAAACAAAACTATTAATAAACTTTTGTTCAAGAAATAAACTTCTAAATGAAGTTTTGAGGACTTGTTAATCACCTGTGAACCAGATGATGGCAGCACTCTTGTTTCTTCCCTTCCTGCCTGTGGGTCTGTGTTTCATTCTTTCTTCTTCTAAGAACAATAGGTTGTCTTCAACCCATCTGCAAAAATATGTGCTGCTATAAACACAACATACTGTGGTATGTTATTACCTTTACTGTCGAAACCAAACACCCATGTGATCTACACCCGTGTGATCTGTCTGAAAGGCTCCATAAAGATGTGTCAAACATCCTTCTGAGACGCTGCCACTCAGATAAGGTTTTTGCCTTGTGTGCTGTTTATGTCAATTTGTGTTGCCTTTAAGGTTTTCATGATCCAACTGCAGATCTCCCTTTCTATGATCATGTTTTGTCAGGCATCAGCCATCACTACACAAACATATGCTGTACTTTTGACTACTTTTGCAAAGGATGTTTCTTTGTATGTGTTTGTGTTTTCTTTGTAAATGTACTTTCAACCGAAAATCTGACCGAACAGCAAATGTGTGTATCTTACAAAGTCTGACTATTCCAATGAGCCAACTAACAAGCTAGCAAGCAAGCAAGCACCAGCAAAATACTGTTAACAACTACAACCAAAAGAAAGAGAAAAAAATCCAGACATTACAAAACGACACAAGAAAAACAATGATGAATGTGCTCCAGGCACTGTGGCAGGATGTTGACAGACACACTCAATTAAATACATTTAAAACGACAATTCCATCACATTTCTGCTTTTGGCAATGCAATGTATAAAACCTTCCCTGAGACTTGCCAGGCACAAATCAGTGTTTAGTAGCAAAGGTATCATATCTACTTCATGATGTCCCCCCTGGTAACCTTACAAAGCAGGTCTAGGTATTTCTTATTTTCCCATCGTTATGTGAAAAAAGCAATAGATTGTATCACACATTTTATTTTTTAACCCCTGACCTCTGATAGAGAAAGTGTGACAATAAGATTTACCAAAGGAAGAATTCTTTACTGACAAAGAAAATGTATGACTCGCTCATGCAAACTAATTTGACTCAAATTCTTGGAAAGGCAGCCTGTTCTCAGCCTTCCAGTGTGAGTGCGAGGAATATTACCAATTCTAAAAATGTTGACTTTACCATCCCAGTTGACTGGTTGCTCTTTAGTCATTGTATCCCAGCACTGAATTTATAATGATTGCTGAAGAAACAATTACACCTGATGCTGTAGATTAGCAATCTGAAACTAGGCTGTAAACTTGAAATCATTTTCAAATGCAGACACAAATATCTCTCCATGTGTTATTTTTAAAACAACTGTGACAAATGTATATCATTTGACACATGATGAAAGTGCATCTTGTGAATCTATCCCCAGCAGTCCAGGGTGCGTGTTTTCAGATAGTCTTTAAACAAACAAAGCTCTTGGTTTGATTCCTACCCACATATTTCTTGCACAGAAAACACAAAGGCTGCTGAAGTCTGCTGACATTTATCTGTGTGTTAAATACACTAATGCTTTTCGTTAGAATATCTAATCTTTTGGGGCCTGAATACTTTAACTTTGCTGTGAATAAATGTTGCGTGTATTTTGAGCTTTGGACAAAATGTAACCTCAGCTTGCTAAAGATTTATTTTTTGCATTTCATCCCAAAAGTTAGGGAGCTAACAAGCTAAAGGCTACAGGTTCAACATTAGAGTTTGATATCTTTACATGGTAATGTTCAACAGAAAACATGCTGCCTGTCATACTGAAAAGCTCAATGTACATGCTTACCATGTTAATAGACAAGAGACATGCATTTTATTGTGCATTATAAGGACAAAGGCAATGAATGAACTTTGGACCATTAACTGTAGGCAAGTTGACAATGACATCAGTTCAAAGTGCAGCAGGGTCAAAAAGCTGAAAGTAAATTAGACAAATGATAAGTTAACCTGAGGCTGGTTTCACACTATGTCCTTTACATTTTGGACCTTTGACCAATTAAGTCTGTGTTTCCAAAAGTATTTTGTAAATAGACTTCAGAACAGATCAATCTTAAAATGATGGCCGCATATTTAATATATTTTAAATTCAGACTGGTTGGTTGTTTAGTTGGTTTTAGGTTCTCGACCAACATACAGGATTATATGTTGTAAACTCCCTATCATTATTACATATTCATAATCTAAACATCAGTGTTTTGCTTACTCTTTAATGTAGTTACAAGTGTCTGTTCTATTGTCTTTAATTATTCGTTTTCTATGAATATCCAGAAAACAAAAGACTTAAAGTTCATACACCTGCCAGAGGTTATGTCATGCGGGCTTACTGTATGAAAGTGCAATGAAAAAGCAATGCTTTTTACTTTTACGAAAGTGACTATTTATTGGTTTCAAATGTCAGAATGGTCCAGCACATGTGTTTAAACGTGCAATAATGTTAATTCTGATGGACACTTAATAACAACTATAAAATAATGACTTTGTAACCGTCTAAAAATTCCTCTTCCGTTAAGCTAACATGGCTTTCAGGGACTCATTTGTGTTGCCAGATTGATACTATTGTAGAACTTCTTTTTCCTGGTGGTTGGTGGATAAACAGCCCTTTCTACAACAGCTCTGTCTACTATTAATGTAGCTTATCATTGCTGAACAAGAAATGTGAGATAAAATCAGGAAAATTGTTTTGTTTGGTCATTAGGGAAAACTTCAAGAGAAAACCATTAAAATGATGCACCTCCTCTTAACCCTGAGTCTCAGGCTTTGTTGAGACAAGGCAAGCCACATTGTTCAGTGACACTGACATGTTTCATTATGATGGTGGCGTGGGTGTGCCATGTCATATAGAGGTTGCATTGATTTGATACTCATCTCCATGCAAACACTGATACAGGCGTTGCTGTTTAGCTCAGTGACCTGAGTTGTGCAGAATGATTATTTTCAATTGTTGAAGTGAGCTTTCCGTCATGTAATCCTTATTTCTAATGGATTAGTATAATTGGTGTGATTAATCCTTTTCATATTTCAGTGATAAGACATTTCCAAAGTGGAAAATGTGCAGTCTAAGTCTTGTCTAGCTGCAGTGAGGCGGGTGTGGCTCCTCTCACTCTGACAGTTTCACTCATCACTCTGAACGAGTGTCATGTGTTATTCATTATTGTAGCTTCTCCACCTGAGTTCTCAACCGTTTTGTAATGATTAGACATGCTTACTGGTCGAGCATGTTCTGTAGCTTTTGGTTGTCACCTGATGTTAAAGCTTGTTGTGTCTTTATTTCCTTCCAAGGTAGTTGAAAGTTAGCCCAACAAACAAACATTAAGCTGCTCTAGTTTGAGAATTTCTAACAATTATCGGGCCGATTAGGACAGCCATTGAGACAACAGTTGCATTTTCATTGCATTGTTTTAAATGTTAGGTTGATATTGTGTACGTGTTGATGAGTTATCGGTTAATACTGATGATATTTTCGAAGTAGATCAGTGGTTTTAACAGACTGTGATGCAACTTACCTATCAAGTGTCAAAGAAAGTGTCTCTGATGTCCTGTTTGTGTCAGCTTATTCAATCCACTACGTTCACAAATATACAAATAATATTGACTAATGTTGAAATTAGCTCACACTGTGACAGTGTGCCTACATACTGAACTCTTTATTTGGAAACAGATAAACCATAACAGTTACAGTTAATTGTGTAAAAAAGATTTTTCAATATCGAAATTACGTAATAACAAACTATTTAATGGGTAAGCACCTTTGAAAAACGTTTTTTTTGTTTCCCGCTCATGTTTTCGGTGGGGAAACCTATATTTGCGTTCATGCGCAGTGGCACAAGTTGAAAATGTTTGAGTAGCTTGAAGTGAGTTTGCCACTGTAATAATTCTCTATTTGTCCCCATGTGTCAAATTAAGTAGGTACTTTAAAAATCACAAATTAGAGAAAATGAACATAAACCCGTAAATAATTCAAATTACATTTTAAAAAGGATGAATTCATCATTTAATTACATGATAGAATCCCCAAATATATCTGAAAAGGTTTGTGCATGTTATTTCAGTTTGTTCATGTAGTGTGCTCACATGTTTCCAGCTCACAATGCTTTTGTTTTGGTATCAGTTTCCATTATTGCTTTAAGCTAATTTGAAGATGTGTAGAAATCAGTGGCGAACCGTGTCTATCACAACTGGACCTTCTGTAGACTAGACACACAACCCCCGCCACCTCCCCCCTCCGCGGCATTATAATATCCGTATTTTCACTGAATTGTCGTCTTGAAAAGGGTACTCACAACAATCCCGCAACAACTTCATCTTCACCTGTTGCACTTGTCATTTCAACATTAAAAACAATAAAACGGCATGAATTGCTTCGTCGCACTCATCTAGATCCTCTGTCTCGAGACAGTTAACTTGCGGGCCTAGAGTACCCTGGAACCGAGGGAAACTCTGAAAGAATACGCCCATTGGCTACAAATCAATATATGATTGGTTGATCAAACTGTCAGTCCAAACGTATGCTCTCATTCAGTGCAACGGCCAGGGCATTCTATCAAGGATGTAGAATACCTTGGTTGAAGGATATTCTACCCAGAGACCCAGAACACGATCTGATTGGTTGCTTTCTTTTCTAACACAAAACCACTGAAATGCTTAGTGCATGGTCCGAGAAGGACAAACAAATCAACGTAACACTTTAATATTACAGATCAACAACACAGATACGATTCTCATTTATTCATTTTATATACATTTTATTTATATAATTAAATCGATTTTTGTTTTGTTTTATCTGAGTGTTCCAGGGTAATCTCTGAATACCTTGAAGGCCCTGACGGTTCGCCACTGGTAGAAATGTTTCCACAATATATAAAATTGAATGATGTCAATATAACAACACAGAAACAGGAGCTCCAACAGGCTCACTCCCATATATTAGAACCTTTTCTAAGAAACTCAGGCAATGCATCACCATCATCATCATCATGGGATTAATGTCTTAAAACTAATTTCTCTGAATATGTGACAGTCAATCTCAACATGTGCGGCCAATTAATTATCCACTAGTATTGTATTTTATTGTAAGTGTACCTTCAATTCGA